AAAAAAAAAAAAAAAAGATTGTGTGAAGTTGGGGATAGTGCACAAGACCATCCTCACTTCTGACACCAACTACAGAATTCAGTGGGACCCCTTAGACCACTGTGAGGCTTAACAATTCACTAAAAGGACTCACATAACTCACTGAAAGTTATGATGTTCATGACTGTTTCTTCCCATGAGAGGATAAAGATTAAAATCAGCAAAGAGGAAGAGGCACAGGGGCAGCGTTCCAGTAAGTCCCACAAGCAGAGGTTCTAATTGTCCTCTCTGGTGGAGTCATGGACAGCTCTAACCTTCCCAGCAACAACATATGATAACATATATGGAGTGGTGCTAACCAGTGAAGTCTGCCCAAACCTTCATGTCCAGGGGCTTTACTGGGGTTAGTCATATAAACCTGGTTGGTTCTCCACATGGTTGACTTTAATGTCCACCCCTTCCAGAAGTAAAGCTGATCTCCTTGACCCAAGGAGCTAGTCTCCTTGTGATGAGAGAAGGGAGCTCCCGGAACTAAGTGCAGTCCTTGCTGGAGGTTATCCTAGGTTCCTATTAAATGTTCTAGACCACACCCTACTCCTCTCCAAGGATAGTCTACCCTATAGGCTACCGATTATTCATCAATTTAACATAGTGCCCTGGAAGGTTGTAAGCCCTTGAAGCCCTTCCTTGTTCTTCTCAAGTCCCACCAGGCTGCAAGGAGGAACTTTTACTGGGAAATTTTTCATGACTTGTCTCAGGGTTGTTTTCTCACCCTGCTCATCTACTTATCACTGCATTGAAGGTTTTAATGAATTCCTAATGCAATAATCTCACATCCTCCTTCTGTTTCTTAGAAGCAGGGGTAGGGGTAAGACTAGGAGACCATTTTACACCTGAATCTACCTTTTCTTTCACTGACTGCTCTTGTCAAAGTATGTGGCTTAAATTTGTACCTACATTTGTCATTTAGTTGCTGCTGATTAATTGGGGTAGCAGTTTTGTTTTTCTTTTTACTGTTTATTGAAGAATTGAAGAAAGGGCCAGGCACAGTGGCTCACGCCTATAATACTAGCACTCTGGGAAGCCAAGGCAGGTTGACTGCTTGAGCTCACAAGTTTGAGACCAGCCTGAGCAAAAAACAAGACACCATCTGTACTCAGAACAGAAAAAAGAAAAAAACCTGAAGCAAGAGGATTGCTTGAGCCCACAAGTTGGAGGTTGCTATGAGCTATTACACCCTAGTACTCTACCCAGGGTGACAGCTTGAGTCTCAAAAAAAAGAAGAATTGAAGAAAGAAGATTCTGTGAATCTGCCTCATTCGTTACCTTTAATAGAATTCTCACCTACTAATTTTATAATTAAGAAAAACAAGTGTTTTGCAAGTATTTCTAGCATTCTCAAGAACTCAAAGATTTCCCTGCTTTGAATTCTCTCTGTGCCGCTTCATTAGAAAATCCCTAGTGATCACATTTTTTAAAATTTAAAGGCCGGACACAGTGGCTCATGACTGTAATCCTAGCACTCTGGGAGGCTAAGGTTGGTGGATTGCCTGACTCCAAGCGAGACCCTGCCTCTAAAAATACCCTGGCGTTGTGGTGGGTGCCTATAGCCTCAGCTACTTGGGAGGCTGAGGCAAGAGAATCACTTGAGCCTAAGAGTTAGAGGTTGCTGTGAGCTATGATGCCATGGCACTCTACCAAGGGTGACAAAGTGAGACTCTTGTCTCAAAAAGAAATTTTTTTTTAGTGTATTTATTATTTTAAAAAGAGCTATGTCTATATCTATTGATAGCAGTAAAATACCCAGTATATGTAGACTTGAAACAAAACAAATGGCCCTAACAAAAAAAGCTGTATTTTAATTTTATCTAAATTTACTTTCATTGAATAGTTCAGTAACATTTCCCTCCCAGTGCTGTGCTCCCTCCCTCTGTCAGGCTGCTCCTGGGAGCCAGATTAGGTGATGAGGAAGTTGGGAGAGTAACTGCTTACAGTTTTAAATAGCCAATAACTATTATTATTTGCTTCCATCTCAATGTGCTGATAGTTATGTCTTTTAAAAAATACAATTCTTAAACAGGTACCATTTCTGATTTCCTTGTTATCTGTAACCTTTGGAAACAAATTACTTAAAACTACAAAAATAGCAAATGTCTTGAAATCTGTATATAAAACATAAATTACCTCTAATTTCAAATACTCATTTGTAACTTTATACCTACCCCACACCCCAATTACACATCTGATAGCTCACATATTATTTAATTGTATTGGTTATGGGCATTTCCAAGATGAGATTTTGTATTTTGTTCCCATAGCTTCTGGTTTTCAGAAAACCCAGGCTTTCCTTTACTGAAGGAGTTTGGGCCAGATGATGTTGGTGTATCCCTTTCTATTATTCATCCTCATCTTTGCTTCTGGAGCCATTTCCTCTGGCTTACTATCTTCATCTTTGTTAAAAGCTGCTGCTACTAAAAGAGTTTAGGGAGGAAGAGGTGGAATAATTTTTTTAGGCTTACTTGATCCAAGTTTGATGAATATGGCTGACGCTTTCTTTGTTGTCTGACTACCTCTGGCAAATCTAAACTTGGCGATCTTTGTAGGCTTTGTTGGGAGATCTGCAGCTTCTTCTTCAGCTGATCTCTCAACCCTGCAACTGGAGCTTTCCCCTTCATTGCTTCTGAGGCTCTAGCTTGCTGAGATTTTTTAGGCTTCTCCTCTCCCCACCTTCCTATCTTCTATTTTCCCTTAGAGATCACATTTTGGGTTTTTTTGTTTTGTTTTGAGACAGAGCCTCCAGCTATCCCACTAGGTAGAGTGCTTTGAAATCACAGCTCACAGCAACCTCCAACCTGTGGGCTCAAGGGAGTCTCCTGCCTCAGCCTCCCGAGTAGCTGGACCACAGGCACCCACCACAGCGCCCAGCTATTTTTTAGTTGCAGCCATCAATTGTTCTTTGGCGGGCATGGGCTGGATTCGAACCCTCCACCTTAGGTGTATGTGGCTACCTTAGCCACTTGAGCCACAGGCGCCGAGCCAGAGATCACATTTTGAAATAACATTTATTTCACTATTCTACACTCAAATTTTGGCCTAAACTAAGATTTTTTTTTTTTTGAGACAGAGCATCAAGCTGTCCCCCTGAGTAGAGTGCTATGGCATCACAGCTCACAGCAACCTCCAACTCCTGGGCTCAAGCGAGTCTCCTGCCTCAGCCTCCCAAGTAGCTGGGACTACAGGCACCCGCCACAATGCCTGGCTATTTTTTGGTTGCAGCCATCATTGTTGTTTGGTGGGCCCGGGCTGGGGATTCGAACCCGCCACCTTAGGTGTATGTGGCTACCTTAGCCACTTGAGCCACAGGCGCTGAGCCTAAACTAAGATTTTGTTACTGCTAAAAGTCTACCCTATACATTTTAGCCCTTATTGTTTTTTTCCCACTTGCACAAAGATGACTATAGAATAGTGTTACACAAAGTAACAGACAAAAAAAAACAGCTATTTCCCTCTTTTCTGTTTTTCCTTCTTTTTCTATTACAAGAATCATTTCTGGATATTATCCTAAGAGTTCTACTCCACAAGTTCCATTTTTGTTCTTCTTTATAATTTAAAATTTCATGATTTTTTTTATAGGAGCCAACAGTAAAAGAACCTGAAATTAAGACAACCCTTCAGATGCATTTCTTTGGGAAAAAAGGAGAAAGAAAACTTCATTATAAAGAATTTCGGAGGTAAATGCAGATATTAATATTTGTATTCATTTGGGGAAATTTTATGAGTAAGAAATGAAGAAAGAACTTCTTCAAGTATTTCCAAGAACTATGAACTGTAAAACTAAGTACTATTTGTTGGATCTCTATTGTATTTATCTCTGAGAACTAAACCTATAAAACATAAACTACAGTGAGAATGCTCAACATTCTAACCTATTATGAAAAGTAATATCTTTCATAGGATATAATAATCTTTTTAGTAACTTAATATTTGCATCTGAGAGACATGTCCCTAGTATCAGTTTGTTCTTAATCCAAAACAACAAACCCAACTTACTATTTCCGTAAGTCCTTGGGTCATTTGGGCAGTCCTGATGGAGCCAGGATCAGCTGATGTTGACTAGATGGCTTGGTTGGCAGCTCTCTATTCTAAGATGACCTCATCTGGGACAACTCAGCTCTGTTCTACACAATCTTAAGTCTCTAGAACAGGGATACTCAAACTTTTTAAACAGGGGCCCAGTTCACTGTCCTTCAGACTGTTGGAGGGCTGGACTGCAGGCCCCAGGACGAGTTGGCTGCTAAGCAGGATAGGCAGCAGCGGCAAAAACACCCAGCGAGCTGGATAAATGTCCTAGGAGGGCTGCATGTGGTCCACGGGCCATAGTTTGAGGACACCTGCTCTAGAACAAGGGTTGGCAAACTTTCTGCAAAGGATCATATAGTAAATACTATCTCTGTCACAACCACACTACCCTGTGGTTGTACATGAAAGCAGCCATAAACAGTACATTAACAAATGGGCATATCCATGTTCCAGTAAAGCTTTACATTAACAACTTACTTAATCTCCCTGAGCTCATTTCTTTATCTTTAAAATGGGAATGATAATACTTACATTATACTATTATTATAAATGTTAAAACACAATGTCCTGGTCACCTTCCTAGTGAAAATAACTCCATGCAAAATGAAATGATGGGCCTCCCAGAGGCTAACCAGAGTCTTAACATAAATGTCAGAAAGTATACAGAATGGTACAGAAAATGCTGATTTGGGGAGCAGGAGACCAGCATCTTGTTTAGCTTTGTTTAATAAAGACGTGAGTGTGTAGTGTACGCTATTATGTGTCACATTGAGTCTCAAACACTAGGGATGGTCTCCTCTGAAGACTATCCAATAAACACACAGAAAAGCATTTACAGCCATTATAGTCAGTACTCTCATAGAGTAATAGGGTACTTTGGTAGCAGGGAAATTACTTAGTGTACGCAGTATTGAAGGGTGGGAGTAGGTGGGCAGGGGAGGCTTTCTGGAAGAAATAGCACCTAAGCTGAATCTTGACAGATGGCCAGGAATTAACAGGCAAAAGTGTTTTGAGCAGGGAGGCATTGGAGAGAAG